TACCACGGCAAGTCTGACGAACCTTACAGTGCAGAAGCCTCTTACAGAAAAGACAAAGTGCAGAAGAAAAGAAACACAAGATGAATTTCATCCTAAATAAATGCAATGGGGGGCCAGTTTATATAGGTGAATTGGTGGCTCTTCGAATGGTCATGGTGACTTTTCGAAAAAGTCACATTTTTTTTCATAAAATGGTGCAATCAGAAAAGATATGATTGTTTTTTCAAAAGAATTTGAATTTTGAATCGAATCATGTTCAAATTTTGACCCAAAAAATTAACGAATTTATTTAAATAAAATTAAATTTTACATTAAATAAATATTGTCTTAAAACTATTCTCAAATGGTGCACTTTGAAATCAATTTTTCATCAGCTCCACTACAGAGCCCGAAAATCGGGGCTCAAATTTGAGAAGAAAGAAGGAGGAAGAAGAAGAAGAAGAGAAGGAGGAAGAAGAAGAAGAAAGAGAAGCAGAACTGGAGGGGGCCATAAAAATGGGGCTGGAGACGGAGGTGGAGGCGGACGGAGGCAGAGGCGGAGGCGGGGCTGCGATGCGACGAGCGACGATCGGCCAACGAGCTGCGACGACGACGACGACTCTCTTTCGCCTCTCGCCTCTGTTTCTCTCTCGCTTGTGTTCAAACGAAGAAGAAGAAGAAGAAAAGAAAGAAAGAAAGAAAATGAAGAAAAAGGGGAGAAAAAAAAATCGAAACGCAAAACGATATCGTTTTGCGTTTTGAGCCAAATTTGAGCCTTTGATTTTGAGCCCTTAAACATTTTTCATTTTTCATTCACCTATTAATGATTTCTAAACTATATTTCCAACAGTTTTGATGATAAGAGCAAAGGGAAAGGGGTTCACAAGGGTGGGTTTCACAATGTTGGGATGTTGCGGATAATAATTTGTTTGAAGCACATGAAATTAAATAAATTTTAAAAATGTTATCCCGAGAATTGATAGTGTTTAATTAGAATTTTCATTAATTGCCACGTGCCCAAAAGCACGTGTGGCCCAAAGTCTCACCTCTTTTGACTTTTCTTTTGGAACTTATTTTTAATAAAACCGACAGTGAAATTGAAAAAGAGTGATGATTTAAAGCATTAAATTTGAAGTTTTAAAAGTATTATTAATGATGTGGCGATGTAAAAAAAAAAAATTAAAACAAAATAAAGGTTAAATTATCACATCAGCAGTGAGGTCCACATGATGCCACATTATTAGTGATGTATTAGTGATACTAAATTAATGATATAAAACATTTTCCATTGAAAAAACCAAAAACACTTCCTCTATGATTGGATTACAAATCATTATATAAAAATTTTACGTTTTATAAAATGTGTCATTAATATATTAATACAAGATATGAAAAAATAAAATTTATTAAATTAATATATTATTCAATATACAATGTGGTGAGATTCATAATTGTATGAATATTTTATGTTTATGATAAATGAAGATTTTTATACTAATATTATTTTTTAAATTTATTTACAATAACACAGAGTATATACAAGTAAGATTCAATTATTTATCACATCAATATGAATAAATTTAAAAATTCTTAATATTGCTATATGATTTTTAATTTTTGTAGACGGTTCAAATTACATCCTATTAAGGTGTACAGTTTTTATTAGGAGGAACACACATCATGTTATGGTGGGGATACAAGAATTTCATATCTCAATAAAGCTTGTTTAGGGATAATATTTTTTAGTGTAATTGTCACATCATGTTATTACATGTGGGCATCAGAATCTCATCATATAAATGTGAGTAATTAATTAATTGCGTTGAATAATAACAAATTACATCTGGACTTAGTCAACTAAATATTAAGGGTATGTTTGGTTTGTGTTTGAGAGATGTGTTTTAGAGATAAAAAGTACGAAAAGTTGTTTAGTTTGGTTTTTTCAAAAGATGTTTTGGAAAATTATTTTGAGAGAGAGTTTTGGAAAAAGTGATTGATTTGATGTGTGTGTGAGAGAGATTTGTTTGGAAAACTTGTTTGGTTTACAAGTTTTGAGAAATTTTTTTGAGAAAATTTGTTTGGTTTGGTTACTTTTAAAAACTTATTTGTAGAGAAAATTTCTCAAAATTTTTTCAGAAATACAAACCAAACAAGGCGAGTTTCTCCGTTCTTTTTATTTTAATGATGATACCATCCATTCATATTGGTGATAATATTATATATCATGATTATACTAAGGATAAGTTTGGCATGATTGAAAAAAGTCAAAAAGTCACTATCCTATTTAAGTCACATCATCTTGTTTAAGTCACATCACTTCTCTAACACATCACTTCAAACCCAACCCAAACTCAACCCATATTTCATAAAAAGTCAAAAAATATACTTATTTAGTCTTTCCAAACTAGGCCTAAATTTTTAGCCGCCCTAACAATGTGATTTGGTGGTGTTTCTAGTCATTTGGCTTTTTGTTTTATTTTAATTTTATAAACTAATTAGGCATAAATATAAAATATATAAATGAAAATATATACTCCCTCCAGCGAATAGGGTTCAATTCGTAGGCTTCACACTCACACAAATAATTGGAATTGTTTATTTTATAAATTTTGTCAAATAAATCATATAAAATTGATAATCTTATTATTAGTTTATATTTGTCTTTAAAAATAAATAGTTTATTTTTAAAATTATACTTTTTGTTTATTTTTTTAAAATTAAATGTATATTGATCACGTGCATATAAATGTCGAATTAGATTAAATTTTTTTAAATAATAATTTTTTTAATAAGATTTTATAAAATAAACCGTCCAAAATCACTTAAATAAGCTTAAAATCAGTCCAATTTGAACCGATTAAAAAAATTAATCAATATATTTAGTTTCAATTTTTTAAAAATTGAGTTTTTTATTTTTTATTTTTTATTTTTAGTGAATATTTTTAAATTTTAAGCATTTTTTTAAAATTTTTTTAGATACACCTTACTTACATATATCTAAAAAGTAAAATATTTGTGAAAAAATATTTTAAAAAATTAATAAATACACAAAATTACGAAAAATATATTGAATTTTCATAATTTTTTTTTGTATTTTTGGTATTTAGTGATTTTTTTTTAAAAAAAATTCACAAAAATTATACTTTTTAAGTATATTTATGTTAGGTGTGTCTAAAAATTAAAAAAAAATTGCTTAAAATATTAAAAAAAATTCAGTAAAAATAAAAAAATATGAAAAACAAGAAAGTAGAGTTTTTTTGAAAAGTGTTTTTAAAAAAATAGAAACAAACATAGTGAATAATGCTACAGACCCCTAAAAAACACAATCCCACAATCCTCACTTATCTGTGATTAGTTCAGGAAAGAAAGAAAAAAAAAAAAACATAATTAATCCACATCATTTTAAGAGTTCCCAACTTTAGGGTCTCAAACATTTTTCTTAAAAAAATAGTGTTGGTTCCAATTTTATCGGAGCTGTTGGGTAGCTTGAAAAACTAAATGCCCCGAATGGCTCGATTGTCAGAAACGACGTCATTTTGACCTTTTTTTTCCTCCCCTCTCTGCTTCCTCTTCTTCCTCTTCCTAAGCAATCTGAAAAATTAGAGGAAGAAGAAGAAGAAGAAGAAGAAGAAGAAAAATCAAAATCAAAAATCAAAATCAAAATCAAAATCAAAATCTAAAATCAAAACCAATTTTTTTTTTTTCCCCGCTCTCTGCTTCCTCTTCTTCCTTCTCCCTGAGCAATCTGAAAAATTGGAAGAAGAAGAGGAAGAATAAGAAGAGGAGCCCAAAAAAATGAAATAGCTCCAAAATCTTAACTGAGAAAAAAAAAATCAAAATCAAAATAAAAACCCAAAATCAAAATCTAAAATCAAAACCAATTTCAGCAGCAAATTCAGCAAAAATAAAAAAGAAGAAGAAGAAGAAAACCAACTTAATTTTAGCAAAAAAATAGTTCTAATTTCAGCACAGAAACAACCCAATTTTAGCACCCAAACAACACCAATTTTAGCCCCAATTTCAACACAAAAGCAGCCCCAATTTCAGCACCCGAAAGTAGCAATTTGAGTAAAAACAAAACCAAACCAGCAACATTTTTGATTTTTTTTTGGACCTAATTTGAGATGTGATTTTTTTAAAAAAAATCAAACCCATTCTCCTTTTCCGTCTCCGATATGGCCAGATCGCGGCTTTCCATTCGGTCGGCGAAATCATCTCTGGTATCCTCTCTTTCTTCTGTGTGTGTGTGTGTTTGTTTGGGTTTGGTTCAATTTTTGAGAGAGAAACGAGAAGTGGAAGGGAAAGAAGAAAAAAATAAAATAAAAAATAAAACGACATCTTTTTTAAAAATCGAGCCATTTGAGACAACGAGTTTCGAGCTACAAAACATTTTTCCAATTTTATACCCGATATTTGTATATGTTTCTAGGGGTGTAATTTTGGCCGAGCCGGGCATTGCAGGCTTCCGCCGAGCCAGAAAACTAGGCCCAGGCCCTAGCCCAGGCCCAGGGGTATTCGGGCTTTGGGCGAGCCTAAACAAATTTTTTTATTTTTTGTATTTTTTCACCAAAATTTTATTATTTTCTATTAAAAATAACACTAGGCATCGGGTGGGCCGGACTTTTGGACGGGCCCATGGACCGGGTCGGTTTTCAAAACGATGGCCTAGGTCCAAGCCCTAGGCCTCAGACTGGGCTTGGATTCGGGCTTTAACAAGCCGGGCCCACCTTTGGCCCCGGACGGACTTTGGGCCGCCCACGAGTCACGGGCCAAAATTATACCCTGTACGTTTCTTAGAAGGTGATATCTATGTACTTGATTAATTATTTAATTAATTATTATTATTTTTATTTTGAGCACTAATGTTATTAACAGTTGACTAAAGTGAATCACGCGGTAGCGCGTGCTTTCTCTTAGTTTTCTAATACAGTACTAAATAAAATTTTCCTTTGTTCTCTCTCATTTTTTTATTTTCGAGAAAATTTTTCATTTTCCATGAAAGTTCTGGTATTAGCCCTATCCACACCTCCCCCTCTCCCTCTATATAACAACTCCTCTCACTCTTCCGCCTCACATCATCTCACACATCTCTCTTCTATGTCCGCTTATTTTCGCAGATCACCTCTCTTTCCTGAACCATTTTTCTCTCGTCCCAAACAACAAAAGATGCCAGCTTGTATCCATACTTCAAGACCAGACACCACTCAATCAAACCCACGTTCCTGCGATCCAAACGGGTTCCAAGTTCACAATGACCTAAAATTATGCCGACCCAGTTTCCCAGATCTTGATTCCTGCGTACCCATCACCCAAATTCAACCAAAAACCATCCAAACCCGCACAGCCGTTGATTCCATTGATGATGATGATCTGTGGCTGAGAATGAAAGATGAAGCTCGATCAGACGTTGACCAAGAACCCATTTTGTCAAACTTCTATTTCACCTCAATCTTATCTCATGATTCCCTAGGAAGTGCCCTAGCCAATCACCTATCCATGAAGTTAAGCAATTCAAGTCTTCCAAGTAATACCCTGTATGCTCTTTTCCTAGGGGTGCTCACAGAGAATCAAGAAATCATGAAAGCAATTCAAGATGATTTGAGGGCAGTGAAAGAGAGAGACCCAGCTTGCATTAGCTATGTGCACTGTTTCTTAAATTTCAAAGGCTTTTTGGCAATCCAAGCTCATAGGATGGCACACAATTTATGGTCACAGGGTAGAAAAATTCTATCCCTTGTGATTCAAAACAGGATATCTGAGGTTTTTGCAGTGGATATCCACCCGGGGGCGAAGATTGGACGGGGGATATTGCTCGATCACGCCACCGGATTGGTGGTCGGAGAGACGGCGGTGATCGGAGATAATGTGTCAATTTTGCACAATGTGACATTGGGTGGCACTGGCAAGGCTAGTGGGGATAGGCATCCAAAAATTGGGGATGGGGTGTTGATTGGGGCAGGGACTTGTGTTTTGGGCAATGTTAAGATTGGTGATGGGGCTAAAATTGGGGCAGGGTCAGTGGTGTTGAAGGAAGTGCCACCTAGGACCACTGCTGTTGGGAATCCAGCTAGATTGATTGGAGGAAAAGAAAATCCAGTTAGGCTTGACAAGGTTCCTAGTTTAACCATGGATCATACTTCAGATATCTGTGAGTGGTCTGATTATGTTATTTAGAGGAGGCCCATTTAACTATGAGACCCTCCTTAAGGGCGAGATTTTTTTGTTTTTGAAATTTTCTATTCTTCTATCTCAATACATTTGTAACCGATTAATTATGTCTCGAAATTCTCACTATATGGATTGGAAGAAGACAAAGATTTGGGTACAAAAATTCCTTGGCCTGTATGCTAAGGTTTGGCAAAAAAAAAGTTATATCTCGAAATTCTCAGCGTATGGGTTATAATTGCATTTGGGATAGAGAGAAGATGGAAAGATTTGGACACACAAAATCCCGGGCCGGTTGGGTAGGTTCAGCCACCTTTGTAAAGGGAGAATTGAAGTTCTCCTGTTAGCAAATAGAAATCCTTATGAGTTGCTAATATATACTTATTAGCTAAACAAGATCTTTGGTTTTGGAATTTAGTGTTTGTACTATTAGGTTAGTAGGAACATGTTGCCAAGACCACCATGTACTATTGGTATAGAGTAAAAATGCTTTCTTGTTGTCACATAATTTATTTTACATTGTTCTCTCTTATTTTCCAAGACTGCAATGTGCTATGACTATGGAATAACATGTTTTTGCCTTGTCACATGACTATCTTTTGTCTTTGTTGTTTCAGTAAAGATATGCTTTGACGATCATGAATTCTATTAGAGTAAATTACAAACTTCGAATGGAAATCATCATCTGATGTGAATGGAAATGAGTTGTCAATTGAATATAGTTGCAAGCTTTGCTAATTTACGAGTGTTATGAAGAAACATTGGTATGTTATAGGAAAGAGATAATTTTTTACCCTTTTTTTCTTCGCTTTTGCTGAGAAAACATTCATTCTTTAGTTAATTTCTAAAAATTAAAAAAAAAGGTAAAAATTCAATTAGTACATGCAAGAAATAGGCAAATTCATGACCTTTTTGTTCAATTTCTCATGGAGTAAAATTCTTATCAGTACTGCGAGTCAAGGGAATGGCCCCTTGGCCTCAAATTTCCATTTAAAGGTGGATGGGGATGTCAATCCTCAAGCGCAAGTAACTTGACGTGTAATTACTGGTCACTTCCTTTTAAGGGTCTCCTCAGAAATGTCATTACGAGGTCAAAAATTATCATTAAATGATGATATCACGTGTCGGTGATGATGTGGTATAACAATTACATTGAATTTTTTCTCTAGTTTGTGGTTGCCATGATTGGAATATGTGTGACAAGAAGATTGAGCAAATTGACAGACCTCATCCCATGTGTAGATAAGGTTGTTCTATGCAGGGTCACTCAAAATTAAAAGATTAAAGAAGATTGAGTAAATTGACAGACCTCATCCCATATGTAGATAAGGTTGTTCTATGTAGGGTCACTCAAAATTAAAAGATTGTGGAGTGAAATCTATGTCTGCATTGAGAGGTATTCTTTGATTGTTCAGCTTGCAAATTAGCTTCTCTCAATGGAAGGACATGGTTGATAATAGGAAGAGAGAGTCTGCATAAAACAATTGAAAACTGAATCATATCCTTTTCAGAATTGCTAAAGTTCTTGCAATTGAGTTTGCTCACTGGGCTGCATTCCAAGCTGTGTTGTTTTTGCTTTCTCTGCTCTGTTCTGCTTCCTTCTTTTTGTGTTTGGATGACCAGAAAAGAAAATTTGGTACAACATTGTGTCGATGTACATGCCTAAAGCTAAAATTTGATCCTATAATTGCTGAAATGATTAAGAAAATAGGCAAGAAATGCTGGAGAAACAAAGCAAACCACAACTTTTAGATGATGAAAATAGGCAATTCGTCACAATTTCAGAACTTAGCTTCTAGTATCTTTCCTAACACAATACAAACCTATCTGATTTCACTTTTCTCCGCAACTTCCTCTCCAAATTCATAATTCAAACACAAACACAGTCTCACGAACTGCAATTATAAACCTACTAGAGTCAAATGACTCAGCTTTTTTATTAGCATTATAAAAATATAGTTACTAGTTGATTGTGTAAACAAAATAGAGTAGCAATTGAATTAAATAAGATTAAAATGCAAGTGATTTAACAATTATTGTGAGAAGCTAGCGGAAGGTGTTTGCTTTGCCTACACAGCAGGTGGTGTGTTTTACGTCTTGAACACGTGAATTTTTTTTTGAATCACTTTCATACTCTGCACGGTTTTCACATGGCTACTCAAATTTGACTCCAATTTATTTAATAATGTGATGCTATGAATGTGTGACTCAGATGGACATTTAGTGACTATGGCCCATACCATTTAAAACTTTTCGTAGTTGGCAAAGTAGTAGAAGTCACACCCAGTGTGCTGAGTGTATTTTTAAACTCTTATGTTATGTTTGGTTAGGGATTTGGGGAGGGATTTGAAAAGGGAAATAGAAAATGTATGTAAAACTAGGTGAAATATCGATATATTTTATTTATATTTTTCCTATCTTTTCCATTTTCTTTTTCAAATCTGTCCTCAAATTCCCAACCAAACGCAGCATTATAGTAATTTATACTGGGCAAATTGTGGACAATCTTTCTTGGTGATATGCTCAGATTTAATGGTTGGTAGGTGGTTACTTCCGAATTTACTCAGTAGAAATGAGTTCAATATGATCTTTATTCAGAGAAGTTTTTCATTTGTAAAAATAAAATAAAATAAAATTCTTCAACTTTTCAACGTAGGTATCATTTTAAATCGTTAAACTTTGAATTGTTCGAAACATTTTCAATTGAAGATGCTACTATGTAGACTCCAAAAAAACAACATCAACCTAAGGTTGTCATGTGGTGTTCTAGAATATGCCCCCCTATAGCATAGAAAATTTTCCACTGTAAATTTTAGCGCCCAAGGAGAGATTAAAAATGAAAAGAAATTAGGGGGTCCCCATTATACATAGCTTGTAAAAATGAATATGCAAATTACAATTATTGAATCTCTCAGTTTTTAGACTTTGTTTAAATCTTGAATATGAGTTCAGATTTATGAAGACAATTTAAAACTCAAATATAGCCTTAAACAAAGGTCAAAATTTTTATATGAATACTCTAACGTATAGTGTCCCAGGCCGCTTTCCTTTCACATGGTTGGTCTCTTCGACGTTATCATGTGGTGGAAAACAGTAATGCTATGGACAAAAAACTATACAATTTTTTTTTAAAGAGAAATAATATATTATCTAAATTTAATTTTTATGTTGTAAAACTCACTTAAAATGAATCTATCTCACATTATATTTTTTTGGGGGACATATATATATATATATATATATGGAGAAAAAACAAACCCTGCCTCTTAAGACTCCAAATTCAAGTTGGATTTTCCTTCATCAGTTGCCACCTTAGCTCAGTAAGACAGGATACATACATATTATTAGGTTGAAACAATTTTGTTTCTTTCTCAAATCAAGTCAACCATATCCAGAATCTATATGATCTGATCACGGAATTGAGAGAGAAATTTACAAAAAGACAGTAACAAATTTAAGTTTTTTTATTTTTTATTTTTTTTTCATTTGTGCGTGTGCAAATTTCTCTTTAAATTCAAGATCTAAACATAATTTTGGAGTTGCGATGCAAAGAAAATTGTTACAAGGTAAAATATAATGAAAGTTAAATTTTGTTCACTTTTCTTCTTCTCTTCACAAATCCAAAATCTAAATCGAGTATTATTGGAAAGTATAATATAACACAGACAATGGAGACAAAATTATCTACATCAATTACTAACTATTACTACTTTTTGAGTTGATCATACAAGTCATAAATGGCAACTACAATGACTTTGTAGCAAACAAAAACTAATATAAGAGACATGTCTTCTAACAAGTTCATAACACCTTCTTCAACACAACTTTCCTCCAATATGGAGCTCCAATTCCCACCCATTCCTCTCCTCTTAGCCTCCCTCCTCTTCATCTGCATTCTAGTCAAGAACATGAAGAGAGCCAAACCCAAAAACTCTATTCCAAAACTACCCCCGGGGCCAAGGAAACTACCTATCATAGGAAACATTCACCAACTTCTTGGCTCATCACTAGCCCATCACACATTGAAAAAATTGGCCACAAAATATGGACCCTTGATGCACCTTCAACTCGGCGAAATGTCCACCATTGTCGTCTCTTCACCAGAAATTGCCAGAGAGGTTTTGAAAACACACGACATAGTCTTTGCGCAAAGGCCTTACTCTTTTGCTTCTAGGATTCTCTCTTATGATTCTCAAAACATTGTCTTTTCCCCGCATGGCGATTACTGGAGGCAAATGCGAAAAATTTGCATAATGGAGCTTCTGAGCGCGAAGCGAGTCCAATCATTTCGAGCAATTAGGGAAGACGAGGTCTTGAATCTAGTCAAATCGATTTCTTTAAACAAGACATCGCCGATCAATCTTACCAAGAAGATTTTCTCGCTCACATATGGCGTTACTGCTAGAGCGGCTTTTGGTGGGAAAAGCAAAGGCCAAGAAGCGTTCGTTTCAATTGTTGAGGAAGTTGGAGACTTGACAGGTGGTTTCACCATTGTTGACATGTACCCATCGGTGAAATTGTTTCAAGTGATCAGTGGAATGCGACGTACACTCGAAAAGATGCATAAAAGGATTGATCAGATACTTGAAAACATTTTGAATGAGCATAGAGAAAGAAAGAGAATAACAGAAAGTGGTAAAGGGGAAGCAGAGGAGGATCTAGTTGATGTTCTTTTAAGGATTCAGAAGCATGGTGACCTTGAATTTCCATTGACAGACAACAACATCAAAGCAGTCATCTTGGTTAGTATGTTTTTATTTTTCTATATCATTTCAATTTTCGCACAAAATATAAATTTTTTCTTTTCATAGCACATGATATAATAATAATTAATTGCCAAGCAGAAGTGACACCATGGTCTAGAAAATAGGTAATGATTTGATTAAGCAGTCTATGAGCAATCTTCACTCACTCTGCAGTTTTATCTTTGTTTTTGTTTTTGTTTTTTTTGTGTATGTGCGCCCGCGCACGTGGTGGTGTTGTGAAGAGTAAAAAGTATTTTTTTTGTGCAATCCCAAGTGGGAAGTAAGTCTTCATATCTTATCCGTAAAATTAAAAACTTGAAATTCAAGAGATTCCTATTTTTCTTAGATTTTATTAAATTCCCGGAAGTATCAATAACATGCACTAAAGTATATTAATCTCATCCAATTTCAGGACATTTTCAGTGCGGGAAGCGAGACATCATCAACAATTGTAGACTGGGCAATGTCAGAAATGCTAAAAAACCCAGAAGTAATGAAAAGAGCACAAGCCGAAGTACGAAGTGTATTTGACAAAAAAGGAAATGTTGATGAAACACGCCTCCACGATTTAAAATACTTAAACTCAGTAATTAAAGAGACCTTGAGGCTACATCCCTCAGCTCCATTGTTAGTTCCAAGGGAAAGCGGTGAACAATGTACGATTAATGGATATGACATACCTGCCAAGACCAAAGTCATTGTCAATGCTTGGGCAATTGGCCAAGACCCCAAATATTGGAACGAAGCAGAGAAATTTGATCCCGAGAGATTTTTTCACAGTGAAATTGATTTCAAGGGGAGAGATTTTGAGTTTATTCCATTTGGTGCTGGAAGGAGGATATGTCCCGGGATATCGTTTGCGATTCCTAATATTGAGCTTCCACTTGCACAATTGTTGTATCATTTCGAATGGAAACTCCCCGATGGAAAGAATCATGAAGAACTAGACATGGAAGAGGACCTTGGTTTGATTGTGAGAAGAAAGAATGATCTGATCTTGATTCCCATTCCTTATGATCAATCCTCTTTCTTCTGTTGAATAAGATCAGAAAGAAAATATGCTAGATGCTAATTTTGTATTGTACACACTACTCTACATGAGAGAACTCTGAAATAAGGTCAATGTTTCAAATGAGTGATTGTTTTAACGGATCATATGTATGTGTTTTTTGATTGGCAGATCATATGTATGTATGTTCAATCAATTTATGCTTTTTTATATAGTAGAAGTGTATGAGGAGCTTTAAGTAGATGAAAATCTCTAACTTACCAATAGCAAACTCAAAAAATGCAAAAATTACATTTTATTAGCCCACATATCAGAACTAAACAAATGCAATAGTTTTATCAAAAGCTGAAGTGTTCAAGACTCATAAAAAAAGAAAAAGAAAAAGAAATTCACAATACACAAGGATCTCTGGAGGAAAAAGTCAAGATATTCAGTTTTATTAGGAGTTTTCTCACTATCCACATAGATTTGCTAGCTTAATTAAAGAGTTGGAGTGACTTATTTTTGTAGGATAAAATTACTACTTAAAAAGTTGATTTGTCTGATAAATGCTAAAAATATTAACTTTTTTTATTGAGAAAGTTTAGGTGGGGTTTGAATTAAAAAAAAAAAAAAAAATCATCTGAAAAAATCTGTAATAGATTTTTTATATATATTTTTTTTATTTCTTTTACTTTTTAAATCCATCTAAAATAAAAAATCTAAAAATTTAAAATAATATTAATAATTTTTTTATTAAAGGTAAAAAACATCTAAAAAATATGATTTTCTTTAGTACTTGATGATGCAGTTCGGTCGGCAAGAGATAGATCGGACAGGATCCAGATACTCCATGGGTTGGCTAGCCTTCGTCTTCCCAGCAGCACCTGCGACAAGTCCAACAGGAAGGTTCCGAAGCGAGGGTGGTTCCTTCCTGAAGATCCTCCGACGATCAAGTTAGTTAAGTGTGTGGAGAAAGGGAAGAAGCTTATAAAGAATTGAGAGTAGAGTGAGAGTGAAAGGGGGATCCATTATCAAATGTCCTTCAGCTTCCTTATATCTCTTACCAATCATTTTCTTGTCTATTCACACTATTCTATTGGCCGAAAGTCTACGGCCTACCTATTGTTGGCCATGGCGATTTCACCACACCTTAGAGAGAGACGGTCTTATTGCATTTAATGCTTAACAGTCTCATTTAATACTTGGCATGTGAGGTCTAATGGCTTGTAGGGTTTTGGTTTGCCACATAGCCGATTCCCTACTTGACATGTACCCAGCCGGTAGTTGGATTTGACTGCCATGGGTTCTCTGATTGAGCCCACTATTAGGCCTTGTGGTGATAATTAATAGGGAAATTACCCACAGGTCCCATGTGGAACATGTGGACACCATTTAATCCCATAACTTTTTGAGTACACCCAAAAGTCCTTTCCTCTCTCTCTCTGTTTTTTGCTTCCCTTCCTCTTTCGTTTTTTTTTTCTGCATTTTTCTCTCATCGTCTTTGTCATGGACGACGACCGGTGATCATGTCTTTCTCCATTGATCGGGGTTCACTGATAATCGCCAACCATCGAAATCAACTCGTGACTTCACTCTCACCGACAACGAAGATAATATATTTCCGACGAAGAAGATGATATATTTCCGAAGAAGAAGATGAGTGGATGTACTTAGATCTGATGTAGATTTACTCAGATCTACATCAGATCTGAGTAGATCTACATCAGATTTGGCTAGATCTAAACAAAAAATAGTTGCCAGAGTACAATCCTCTCTCTACATGCGCCTTTCTCCTTCGATCTCTTTTTTTTTTCTCTGCTATACACTTCTGTTTTTCTGTTCTAATGGAGAAAATTTTCGAATTCTGAACAAGTAGTTTTCGAGTTTTAGTTACAGGCGGTGAAAACTGTAAAATTTTGCAGTTTCAAATTTTTTCGGTGTTGGAATGAATCATGGTATAAAACTGTAAAATTTTACAGTTTCATAACATGTTTTTCAGTTTGATTAATAAGGATTAATGCTTAATAGATTTTTGTTTTGAAACTGTAACATTTTACAGTTTCAAAACTTACTTTTCGGTTTGATCACTATTTAGAGATTATTTGCTTGAACCTTACAAAAATTGAAAAATAACATATGTTTTCCCCATTGTTGCTGTTTTTTGTCGTTTCATTTTTTTTCCTTTTAGTTTATCAATATTTAGCACATTTTGCTATGTTTTTTTTGCTATAATTTATCCATTTATTCTTTTTTTTTTCCGGCAATATTCTAGACATTCCGGTGAGTCTTCAGTGATGTTCTTAACGTCCGGTGAACGTTCTGAACATTCCGACGACTTCCATTAACGTTCTTAACACTCCAGCGAACTTCCGGCGAAACTCCGGCGACTTCCCGGTGATACTCCGGCGACTTCCTGGCGATGTTGAACATTCCGACGAGTCTCCGGCGACCGTTTGACGGAAGTCCTACGGTAGTAAGATGTGAACAGTGTCTGTAAATTTAAAAAAAAAAAAGAAGGATTTTTTGGTAACAATTAAAAATGTATTGGACTAATTGGTGCAAGTATTTTGTTTTGGGATTAGCTGGGTTTTGAACTTGGTACATGGGACTTATCAGTAAGTTCCCCTAATGGTTATTTGGGCGGCCCATGTAGATTACGGATTGGACCCTCCTGGGCCATATCCATTAGTACTCATCAAACAAGGTGAGTGTTTCTTTTAAAAAAATGATTTTTAAATTACAAGTCGAAATCAAACTTAATTTTTTTGGGACATTTATTTATAAATCCCTTTTCACATATTTATATTTTATTTAATTTAAATTATTATTTTTTGTATTCCAATAAGTCTTATAGGTGATATTGTTATCAAGGAAAATAAGTGAGACTCCTATTATTAGGAAACCCCTGCCACCCTTAAAGTGATCCAGAACATTCAAGTGTGTTGGTTTTTTATTTTTATTTTTATTTTTTTTATCTCTCACGTGAGTGGTCCAGATCACTTTGAGGGTGGTGGAGGTTCCCAATAATGGGGGTCTCCATCATTACTGTTGTTATCAAAATATCCCTAATAACAACAACAATAACAACAACAACAACAACAACAACAACAACAACAATAATAATAATGTGAAACGCGCATTACAATACTAGGTAGTTTAAAATTTTGTGGCTCAAAGGCTTAAATCACTTAAAGCGACGTCGTTTTGAGTGTAAATGAGTGTAAAACGACGTCGTTTTGACAGATTTAAGTCATTTGAGCCACAAAATTTTGAGCTACCAAACATTTTCCTAATGTTTATATTGACAGTGTGAATGTTCCATAATGTGAACTTTTACACTGTTAATATAAATATTCACGTTGTCAAATTTATTTAATGTGAATATTTATATCACCATGTTGTTAAGGGTTCAAAAAATATTTATAAAGTTAAAATTGTCCATAAAATACTTTAAATATGATAACTAAGATTCAGTTGATGAAATGTCCAAAATAATAGGACTTATTAGAATACTAAAATATCTTATGGACTAATTGGGATATAAATACTTGAGAGAGGTTTTTTTAATAAATTTTTCCTTTTTTTTAATAATCAATAAAATAATAAATTTTTGAAAAATCACCTATAAATCTCATATTAAGGAATGGTGATTCGTTTAATCTCAAGAATTTTTTATAGACCGATTAGTCCTATTGATTTTGGAAAGATAGATTTAATATATTACTTATAAATTGGATTCATGATTGTACCTTTGTTTCTGTTATGTTTCCCTCTTTTTTTTTTGGTGCTAGAAAGGTAAGATACACAACATATGAGAATCAAATTTATGATGAATTTTTATATAAGAATCTTTTTTTATTTGAAATGACTTGAAATGTGAGATTCTTCAAACATTCTAAAATGAATCCAAAATTGGCTTGAAATATGGAATTCTTCAAACATTTGGGCAAATATATAATTTCAAATTATAATACTCCAATGTAACACTTCAAAAAAAAAAATTCTTTAATCTATTTTTTTCCAAACGTAACATTCTAAAAAAACATGTGGGATTCTTCAAACCATTCTATTAGAATTACAAAGTTTCCTTAGTAAGTTTTGGACAAATATATAATTTCAAACTTGAGTGTTACGTTTGGGAAAATTATACTAATGAGTTTTTTAGTGTTTTTGTGTGTGTTACATTTAGGATTACATTTATTGGAGTGTTACGTTTAAAAAAAGTACAACAAGAAATTTTTTTGGAGTGTTATGTTTGGAAAAAGTATACCAAAGAGTTTTTTAATATGTTACATTAGAGTGTTACGTTCTTATTCGTAATGTGAGATTTGTTTCATAAAGAGAAAAAATTTAAAATCTCTATAGTGCAGATTGCCTAAATGTGTAATTTCATATTTAGAGAAACTCATTTTTATCCCTAAGAAATTAAATCCAAACGTATAAGTGATTATTCTTCTATGTAATTTTCACTTTAATAGAATCTTTGAGTTCATAAGAAAAAGAAAAAAAATTCGTAAGATCATATTTTTAAGATTTATTCAGTGTTTTTCAATTTTTTGAAAATTAAGTTTTTTATTTTTTATGTTTTTTTTTTATTTTTAGCGAATATTTTTTAAATTTTAAACAATTTTTTTAAAAACATTTTTAGATGCACATTACTTAGATATATTTTTAAAAAGTTAAATATTTGTAAAAAAATAATTTTAAAAAATGAATAAATGCACAAGAATATGAAAAATATATTGAATTCTTGTATTTTTTTTATTTTTGTATTTAGTGAATTTTCTAAATATTTTTCTAAATATTATACTTTTTAAGTGTATTTATGTTAGGTGTATCTAAAAATTTAAAAAATTACTTAGAATATTAAAAAAATTCAGTAAAAATAAAAAAAATACAATTTTTTTTTTTTAAATTTTTTGAAAAATATATCCTAAAAATTCAGACCAAGCGAGTTGATTAGTACTTTACCTAATTTTTTTTTACTTGAAACCAAAGAGATTCTAAAATATCTATATAATCTTTTTAATAATTTGATTTAACCATGGAAAAAAAAAAACTCAACTAATTTCATTTTTGCCGCGCTCGGACTTCACCAACACACTTGCCCCTTCAAGTTTTTACGGTTAGGGTTTCCCATCTCTCTCTCAAAAAACCCTTTTTTTTTTCCATTCTCCGCAAGGTTCTGTTTCAATTCAGCAGCTTCAGTGCCAAGGTACGTACGCTCTGTTGTCTTTCGCTCCTACGGAACTCCTCCAATTCTTCTTATTCTCTTTGTCATTGTGCATTCCCTGCATAGTGCATTGATTTTTTTATTTTTTATTTTTTTACATTTTTTATTTTAACTTTCTGGTTTAATTTTATAATCTATCTATGCATTCGCTAAAACCGCATTTGGTTCGTCTCACCGAATTTAATTTGTTGAAATTCAGATTTCCTAAGCTTGAAGAACCCTAACTTGGTTCTATGTAGTTTTGGGCATTAGAGGTCAGTTTTCCCAACTTTCATTACTGATTATGTTCGTTTTCACTTCAATTTTATGGAGGTCTTCAATATTTGCTATAAAATTTTAGCAGGGATTCAATTTTTTTTTTTAAGAAGGAAAAATTTCAACTTGATATTTTCTCATGTTCACATCTCAACCTGAACACTTGAGGGGCTCGTGGGCCTACCACAGATCCCGTTTAGATTATCTTGAACTTCTCATTTTGTAGAGCCCTCAAGGTATATCATTCATGAAAAAATTAGTTTGATCTTCGTAACCTTTTTACTTTTTCTCATTTGTCTTAAAAAAAATGGATTATCCATTTTTTAGAGATAAACAAGATAAAATGAAAATGTTATGATTATGAGATCGACATAATTTTTTTTTTGGATAATATACATCGAGATTCTTACAAAATGACCGATTCATATCATCAAAACGGGAATCGTGATGGGCCTCACTGGCCCCTCAAGTTCTCTCATATTGAGATTTGAACATGAGAAGCCTAACCCTTTATTTTATTTATTTATTTTGGTTCAAAATCTTCTTTTCCAATTTTGCTAACAATTCATTGAAACATACTACTGCCCAAAATATGGTATCTGTTATTGTATATGTGTGTGTGTTTTAGTTTTTATAGTTATGGAGCAATATTATAAAAGAAAATCGAGCATAGAATCTTCATCTTCACCAATTCAGGACGAGTCTCCAAAACAGAGTCGTATAGAAATTGACTTGCCAGACCTTCCTGAAGATCCGGGGCTACGACCTCAGATTACGTATTATCATCGTATCATCTGAGAACAAGGTTTAACCCTTTATGGTTTGATGAATTTGGTAGTTGGTTGGAGTATAGCATAGCTAAAGATGCTGCATTTTGCCTTTGTTGTTATCTTTTTAAACCCATCGTAGGAGACCAAGGAGGTGGTAAGTCTTTTGTTATTGCTGGGTTTTCAAGTTGGAAGTAAAAAGAAAGGTTGCAAGGTCACGTGGGAGGTGTTAATAGCTCTCACAATCTAGCTTGGAGAAAATGTCAGTACTTACTGAATCAAAAGCAACATATTGAAACAGTTTTCTCCAAGCTATTTGATGAAGCCAAGAGTGATTATAGAGTTCGATTGACTACATCAATTGATTGCATCCGACTTCTTTTGCGACAAGGGATTCCATTACATGGGCATGATGAATTTGAAGATTCAAGCAACCAAGGAAACTTTCTTGAGCTTTTGATGCTTCTTTCAGATCAAAAAGAGAATCATAGAGCTGTTTTGTCAAAAGATGTTCCTGAACACCTTAAGTTGACAGCACCTAGTATTCAAAAGGATATTGTTAATGCCATTGTGGTTGAAACTACCAATGCTATTGTTAAAGAACTTGGTGATGGCATGTTCTCTATTGTCTTTGATAAATCTTGGGATGCATCGATGGAGGAACAATTGATTGTTTATTTGAGATATGTGGATGGGTAGGGGATCTGTGATTGAGCATTTTTTGGGTATTAAACAAATTTCTAGTTCTAGTGTTCTTTCACCTAAGAAGGCGGTTGAAGACTTATTTTCTACACATGGCTTAAGCATATCTAGGTTGCGTGGACAAAGTTATGATGAGGTTAATAATATTGATATGCAAGGTGAGTTCAACAAACTCACCACACTTATAATTGGAAGAGAATGAAAGTGCGTATTATGTTCATTGTTTTGCTCATAAACTTGAATTAACTCTTGTGGAGGCAACAAAGAGTAATATCCATATTGCAACACTCTTTTATGTGGTTACTAAAGTAGTCAAAGTTGTTGGAGCTCCATGTAAGCATCAAGATGTTCCTCGGGAGAAGCAAGTTGCTAAAGTTGTTCAAGCTTTAAAGAATGATGAGATTACAAGTGGGCAAGGTCTCAATTAAGAGGACACTCTTATTCTTGCGGGAGATATATGTTTGGGATCACATTATGGAACTTTGCTGAGTTTGATTAGTATGTTTTCAGATGTTCTTGATGTGATAGTAGATGATGGATCCTATTCCAATGACAGAGCAGAAGCATTCTACCTATTTGACCCTTTACAATCCTTTGATTTTGGTTTAATCTACATTTGACGAAATCCGTATTGGGAATTACAAATGATTTGTCACAATCATTACAAAGAAAGGATCAACAAATTGTGAATGCGATATGACTAGTTGAAGTATGCAAGCAACAACTCCAAATGATGAAAGATAACAGGTGGAGTTCTTTGATGGATGAAGTTTCCTCTTTTTTTGAGAAATGTTGTATTGATGTTCCTAATATGGATGACTTGTATGTACTTTAAGGGAGATCAAGGTGTATAGATCAGGAAATGACAAACTCTTATCACTACTTCGTCAAGTTGTTCGATTTTGTCATTGATATGCAACTCCAAGAGCTGAATAGTCATTATGAGGTGAACATTGAATTGCTTCTTTGTGTTGCATTCCTAAATCCATCCGATTCATTTTTTGCTTTTGATATGACAAAATTGATCTATTTTGCCCAATTTTATCTAAAAGACTTTTCAGCTATTGAGCTTGCGGCACTTCCTATTCAACTTGAGAATTTTATCATTGATATGCGGTCTAGTGTTGAGTTTTCAAATTTAAAAGGAATCAGTGACCTTGCTCGAAAGATGGTTGATACTAGAAAAGAGAGAATTTATTTCCTGGTTTACAAACTGTTGACTTTGGCACTATTTTACTTGTTGCGACTGCCACAATAGAGAGGGCATTTTCTGTGCCAAAGATTGTAAAGAACAGGCTTCGCGATGAAAATGGTGATCAGTTGATGAATGATAGCATGGTTGTGTATATTGAGGGAGAGATTTGTAATAGCATTCCAAATGAGGCTATCATGCATAGTTTCCAAAATATGGAAAGTCTTTGAGGTTATTTGTAATTAAACTCGTATCTTATCAATGAATATCTAAGTTTTTGCTTTGTTCTTAGTTCAAACTTTTTGCTTCTTTCGATTGTCAAATAGGAAAATTTTCATGAATGATTCTAGGTAACTTCTTGCCCCCTTGACAAAAATTATAGTTTTGCCCTTGAGGATTGCTTGTTCAGGGAGACAGAGAGCATATAGAGTAAAAAGACATTTGAGTGTTCAGTCAAAATTGGATTAGTTCACTTTACTTGAGGGGGGAAAAAAATGAACATGCATATGAATTAGAAGAAGAAAAAAGAAGCATAAAAATGAGCAGAAGCTACTAGGCATTTATTCTTTTTTGTATCCAGCTTTGCTTGCATTTTCTTTCTTTTTTTAAAAAATTTTATTATTATTATTATTATTATTATTATTATTATTATTATTATGTTCATTCTAGAATTTGTGGATGATGCTAGTGTGAATTAAATTTCTTGTTACTCATTTATAAATGCTACTCATTTATAATCCGTTTATGAAATTAAAACAAATAAGTTTCAAATGAATAAAATTGGGTGTGGTTGACGGTTTCGAGTTGAGCTTGTCAATACCAAATTGAGTATAAACTCCTCATTTTGAAAGTTCAACAAATATCAACTTCAAAGTATTCCCTTATTTCTAAGAAGTTATCTCGTGGCTGTATTTCTATCTTAAAACAATGAAACACATATTTAGTTTGTTTAAAATATAAGAAAAAAGAAAAATGAAAAACTAATTACATATCTAATACACTTGAATATAAGTCAGACTTGTAAGATAATTATGACTTGTATTTCCAGTCACATTCCTTAGAAATCTCCCACCACCCACCCAAGTTGGTTTTGTTCTATTCTATCTCTAACAATTATTAAGGAGAAGCAGAGCAACGCTGTCCATTCAAAAATAAATTAATAAGTCTTATTTTCAAGTGTCAAATCATAGATTGAATTTTGAGATTCACTTCATTTTATATTTTTAATAAAATATATACATAAAAAATCATGTATATAGTTCTTAATTTTTTTTTTTTTCAAAAAATCTATACATATAATATATAATATTAAAGTGCAAGTGTACAATTATAGAATATATATATATATATTAAATATAATATGAATTTTATTAATGTGTATCCTTGAGAAACGTAAAGAAATTTAAAAATCTTATACATTATGTATAAAAATGAGTACAATAAATTAAAGATAATACTTTTAATCCATTTACAAAATTAACATAAATTTAAGTTTCCTACGAATAAAATTGGCCGTGCTTTATGGTTTCGAGTTAAGCTTGTCAATTCTAAATTGAGTATGAATTCAGTTACTTTGAAAGTTCAACATATATAAACTTCACAATATCCCTTATTTCCAAAAAGTTATCTGATGGATTTTCAAGGTGGTTGTGCTTTCATGGAATTGGGAAGCGTAGGCTCCCGAGCTCATGTTATTGATTCAAACTTTTCATTGTGTATGGTTTGTTGGGTAGATTATCCATGAAAAAAAATCAAATCAATTGGTTATTTATAACCTTAAAGTATCATCACATATTTTTTAAAAAAATAAACGGTTAATATAATTTTAATAATTTATTTTAAAATAGTTAGGACTTAATTTTTAACAAAGATGATATGTTTGACGAACCTTATAATATGAATTATTTAAATCATCAAATAGACTTGGGACAAGTCTTCATGATATATCAAAACATGCATGATGTGCCACAAGGCACAACACGCACCTCAGATCCATGTTTCCATCTTATAACAATGAAACACATAATTAATTTGTCTAAAATATATATAAAAATAAAATAAAAATAAAAGTAAAACTAATTATATAGGTTTCATTTGGGATGTGAGTTGGCTTTTTGGCTTTTTAGTTATTTTAATTTGGGGCTAAAAAATCTCGTTTGGAATGAACTTTTTGACTTTTTTGATTTTTGTGAGAGAAAAAATAAAATGATTATGATTTGGATATGATATTTTGTATCATTAAATTTTTAACCTATTTTGCCTTTTTATAATTATTTTAGTTAAAAAATTCAAAACCTTATATGCCAAAAGAGAGCCTAATACACTTGAATACAAGGCTATATTTATAAGATAATTATGATTTAGTTTTCAGCGACAGTTTAAAAATTGTGTAAAAAAAAATGTCACTAATTACAATTTTTAACGACAATTTATAAAATTCATGAAAAAAAAAGTCATTAATTGTCAATTTTTAACTACATATATAAAAAAATTTCAAAAAAAAATTATTTTTATCGACAATTTATCAAAACTTATTTTTAATAAGATTTTATGGAAATTAAATCCAATTATTATAACTTATTATTTCTAGTTTACCCTATTGTAAATAGCCTAATGTAGCTTCCTTGGTGGACAAATAGTTTACAACGCAATTTATTTTCTTGCCTTTTTCTTTTTGGATTCTCCTTCTGGATTGATTCAATTTTCAGTCATTGGGACTCCACAAGGTTGGAGAAGACAATAACCACAAGTCTAGAGAAGATCTTTGAATTTTTGTCCATGGGACTCTCTCTCTCTCTCAGTTGTGCACTTTGCACATGGAACGGTTCCGCTACGTAGCTCAAAATATCAAAAGTTTGAATGGCTTGAAATTTCAAAACGACATCGTTTTAAGGGTTATTTTTATTCTCTTACCGGTAAGATAATATTTTTCGTACCATTTAAGTCATTCGAGCCCTACACATTCGAACTACGGATCATTTTCGACACCCGAAAATGTTGGGTGACCAGAAGAATCTGGGCAACACATGTCCCTGATTGAGGATCTCTCAACACAATGATGACTTCTTGTCCAATAGTACTATAAATTAAAAAATTTAATTTAAAATTTACTTAAAAATATAAATATGTGATTTAAATTTATTTTATGCATGAATCTTATAATGTATATTTTCAATCTTTATTACACACTCTCATTTTTTACACAAATCTAGAATCGTTAGTCTGGATCCCTAATTTACTATTTTTTGCAGGTCTGGCTTTGGTCTAGTCCACCATCGGACTGGACTGACATAATTAATTTGTCTAAAATATATATAAAAATAAAATAAAAATAAAAGTAAAACTAATTATATAGGTTTCATTTGGGATGTGAGTTGGTTTTTTGGCTTTTTAGTTATTTTAACTTAAGGCTAAAAAATCTCGTTTGGAATGAACTTTTTGACTTTTTTGATTTTTGTGAGAGAAAAAATGAAATGATTGTGATTTGGATATGACATTTTGTATCATTAAATTTTTAACCTATTTTGCCTTTTTATAATTATTTTTGTTAAAAAATTCAAAACCTTATATGCCAAAAGAGAGCCTAATACACTTGAATACAAGGCTATATTTATAAGATAATTATGATTTAATTTTCAACGACAGTTTGAAAATTGTGTCACAAAAAATGTCACTAATTACAATTTTTAACGACAGTTTAAAAAATGGTCACAAAAAAGTTATTAATTTTCAACTTTTAATACACTTAAATATAAGTCAGACTTGCAAGATAATTATGACTTATATTTCACATTCCTTAGAAATCTCCCACCACCCAAGTTGGTTTGGTTCTATTCTATCTCTAACAATTATTAAGGGGAAGTAGAGCAATGTTGTCCATTCAAAAATAAATTAATAAGTCTTATTTTCAAGTGTCAAATCGTAAATTGAATTTTAAGATTCACTTCATTTTATATTTTTAATAAAATATATACATAAAAAATCATGTATATAGTTCTTAATTTTTTTTTTCAAAAAATCTATACATATAATATATAATATTAAAGTGCAAGTGTACAATTATAGAATATATATATATATATATATATTAAATATAATATGAATTTTATTAATGTGTATCCTTGAGACACGTAAAGAAATTTAAAAGTCTTATATATTATGTATAAAAATGAGTACAATAAATTAAATATAATACTTTTAATCTATTTACAAAATTAACACAAATTTAAGTTTCATATGAATAAAATTGGCCGTGCTTAATGGTTTCGAGTTAAGCTTGTCAATTCTAAATTGAGTATGAATTCAGTCACTTTGAAAGTTCAACATGTATAAACTTCACAATATCCCTTATTTCCAAAAAGTTATCTGGTGGATTTTCAAGGTGGTTGTGCTTTCATGGAATTGGGAAGCGTAGGCATAGCAGGCATAACATGGTGCTATAAGGTCATTGGATCTTTGTCCTGAGCTCATGTTATTGATTCAAACTTTTCATTGTGTAAGGTTTATTGGGTAGATTATCCATGAAAAAAATCAAATCAGTTGGTTATTTATAACCTTAAAGTAGCATCACATATTTTTTTTAAAAATAAACGGTTAATATAATTTTAATAATTTATTTTAAAATAGTTAGGACTTGATTTTTAACAAGGATGATATGTTTGACGAACCTTATAATATGAATTATTTAAATCATCAAATAGACTTGGGACAAGTCTTCATGATATATCAAAACATGTATGATGTGCCACAAGGCACAGCATATAGCGATCCAGGTTTTACCCCGACCTTTATGGTGTTCTGGACTCAGGTTCCGCGGTCGTTTGTTGTTGTCTAGGTCTTGTTTCCTTCCTTTTACTCTTTGTATTTGAGTTTGGGACTTGTTGAATGAGTTTGGAACAGGTTGGTTGTGAGTTGGTACAAGTGGTTGCTGCCCAGGTTTTGGTCTCTTCGCTCGAGCGAGGCTTTTTGCGCTCGAGCGAGCCTTGGGTATTTGCTTCTTCGCTCGAGTGAGGGTTCTTGCGCTCGAGCGAGGATTGGGGGTCCTCAGGTTTTTTTCTCAAGACGTAGCTTTTGCTCAAGTGAGCCTTCTTGCGCTTGAGCGAGCCTTGTGTTGTTTGTCTCTTCGCTCGAGCGAGACTTCTTGCGCTCGAGCATGCGTCTGCGTCTCTGTGAAACCTGAAGGTTGGTGTTCTTCACTTGAGTGAGAGTTCTTGCGCTCGAGCGAGCCTTGTGGAATCGTTTATTCGCCCAAGCGAGACTTCATATGCTCGAGCGTGCGTCTGCGTTGGTGGCA